TTATATGGTATCATGATACTATGTCCTCTTACATTTTACTTTTGTGGGCAAATCATAGAGAGTCATTATTTCAAAAATATTGGAGGACTTTATCAGTTTTTCAAGAGGCTCTTCTACATGGTGACATCCCAGGCATTCCCTCTGAAGCTCTTACATGCTGTCATGCACATAAATTTCTTCTCCCAAATGTTAACTATTACAGCTGCAGATCCTTGTCTGTTGTAGGAGCTGCCCATGACTCAAGGGCCCCCTCTGACATTACCTTCATCAATTTTATAATTTCATATTTTGAAAGACTTGCAATTTCACATTATAATAACTTCCCTCTGAATTTTCCATTGATTCACACGAATTTTGCATTGCATTGTTGGATATTGTACAATGAGATAGAAACAGTGGAGGGATGGGTGTGAGATATCAAAGCACAGAATAAGAAGGTTCATATATGGATTATTTGTTTGGTTGAGATTGGTTTCTTTCTGTAGCCCAGGTTGCTCTAAAACTAAAAGCAGTGCTCTTGACTCAGACTTCTTAGACAGGATTATGGGTAGGTACCATCATGCCTGTCTCTGAACTTATTTATGTTTTAAGTTAATCTTGAAAAGCACAAATGCTATTTCAATCAGTGGCCTATGGGTTTTGTAACAAGCCAGCCTAAGATTCAGTGGTTTATAGTAACAACCACATCGTCACTCACTCATGACTCTTTGGTTGTCTTGGCAACACTCAACTGGGACAGTCATCTTTGCCCTGCTTGCTCTTTCAGCTGCAGTTTGAGGTGAGGAATCTGAGATGACATGGCCTTATTCATACTTGGTGCCACTGCTGAGCTGTCTAGAACTCTCTCTTCAGCTACTTAGGTTCTAGAAACTGTCTGACTTCTCTATGGGGAAACTAGATTTCTTTCTGTGGTGCCTTAGAGTTATAAGGGATTAAAAGCAAAAGCTATGGACAGTTTTAAGGGCAGAATCTGAAACTCCCAACTTGGCAAATCCACAGCGTTCTGTGGCCCAAGCAGGCCATAACACAGCTTAGATTCAGAGATGGGGAACTGACTCCACCACTTTCCCTTCCTCTAGCAAGTTTGAGTGTCACAGGAGAGAATATTGTCACCATCTTTGGACAAGATCTACCATGGTGTAAATGCACACTTCAGAAGGGCTATTGCACATAAAACTGAAGGCTGTGGTCATTGTGGGAATTATGAGAAGCTATCTAAAAGAAACCCTTCTTGTCCTAAAAAAAAAATAATAATTACAGAATATAATACCAAGAGTAAGCTAGAATTTGAGATAACTGTGAGCATCCAAACTTTTCTCTTGTGTTATCTTAAACCAAGTCCCGTGTCTTCCTGAGAGAAATTGGTATAAAGCAATCAGTTTTAGAAGAATTTTAACAACTTAAATTACATTTTGTGCAGTTCATTTACAAATTAGGTAGTATATAGACTTACAATGCAATGAGCAATGAAAGGCATCTTGAATGTTTCTGACCATGTGACTGATATGACTGATAACAATTGTTGCAGCCATTAAATGCAGGATGGGGAGTTTATGGTTGAAAACACATATTGAATGGGAGATAAAAGCTAGGTCCTGGGGTGTGCAAAGATGAGTGAGTGGCACCTATTTTCTACTCTTAAGCGCTTCCTTAGTGGGAAAAATAGGCAGTTAGAGAAATATAAGGTCTACATGCCACATACCTTAAAGAAAAGAAAGGTTTATCTGACCTCACAGTCCATCCTGGGTGAGCAGTCATGATGGTATGTATGGCTCTCTCTGTGGGAGCAAGAGCATGACATAGCTAGTCACCTTGCAGTGAGGAATCCGTGAGAGAGGAAAGGGAGGGTATGATCTTTGTTTTCTCCTTTTTATTTAGACCAGAACCTAAAGGGAAAGGTAACAATCACATTCATAGTATATCTCTACTCCTCAGCAAACCTTCCATAACCCACTCTCTATAACTCCTAGAGGTGTGTCTTCTAAATTCTTTTCAGTTTAATCATGTACATCCAGGTACAGTGCATAGAGAAGGGTGATTGTTTCTGTTGCAGTCAAGATGTGAAAGTATGCCAGAGTGTGATGAGGACTTCTAATTCTCTACCCTACCTTAGGCATCTAAGTCAAGCGAGCTCAGGAGTCTCTGTAGGAAAATGCCTACTTTACTACTAGTCAGGGCTTTGATACCAATCTCTACGTGTTAACTCATTTCAAACATGACTAAATTCTTGCTTCATTGTGCCAGCATCACAATTAAACTAGCTTCAGGGTAATGTTTCTTTGATTGGTCTTTTCCATTTACACCTATATAGCATTATTGGGATTATTGGTCCTATTACTTTGATGGTGATAGGCACACTCAACGATGGACCTGTAGCAGTGAAGGTCCCTTTCCTAAGTGACCAGAAAAGCAAAGAAAGCAGAGCTGGCTTCTCAATACATTTTCATCTGAGCTTGCATACTAGAGTTTAAAAATCTTTCTAAAGTTGAATTTTCTCTTGAGCAGGAGTCAGACCTCAGGGCATTTGAGTATATTATCTACAATAACTACAGTGGGGTCCAAATATTTTATGTCACCAAGTTTCATGATATATTACAACTGACAATACAATTTTGAGAACATGAAGTTGCCTTGAAAGCACATGTTTTAAAGAATTGATTTTAGCAGTCTATGTATTAGAAACCATCTATTAGTGTATTTTAAGTTTTACTTATTTTATTTTTGAGATTGTAATGCAATTACACTATTTCCCCCTTTCTCCTTCCTAACCATCCCATACACCCTTCCTTGTTTGCTCTCTCCCTACCCCATCCTCCAGTCTGTGTAATGTTACTTGTATGTTTGTATCTTCCCAGGGCTGACCATTTGCTATTGGATAACTAACTGTTGTGATTTTCCCCCCGTGACTATTTCCCACTCCCAGCATCCCTTAGTTGCTTGTTGTTTCTTGTGCAGGTTGAGGTCTTTCAGTCCTGCTTCTTCCTCTTTGTCATGTCTATTGTTCCTATAGCTCAACTCCTCTGATAGCTGTGATAGTTGATATCATTAATTGGACACAATCTAGAATCACGTAGGAGATGAACTTCTGGGAATGCTTATGAGGGATCATCTAGACTAGCTTATCAGAGGTAGGGAAACCTACACTAAAGGTGGGTGGCATCATTCCATAAACTGAGGTCCTGGACTGTCAATATAGTGTGACCTGTTGCCTCAGTCTCTGACCACCACAGTTTCTCTACCATGATGGACTGCTTCCTGGACTCTTAGGCAAAATAACTCCTCTCTTTCTTAGAGTGATATTGTCAGAATATTTTGTCACAGCACAACATAGGCAGTTAAAACAATAAACACCATAAAACGGAGTTCTATAATAACTCTTAAATTAAGAAACAAATTAATTATTAATTCTGGGTTTAATATTAAAGAGAGTGGGTTAAAAACATAGGAATATGATTAAAAAGCTGTATGAATAAAGAAAAGTATACTCAGAGGATCATCTGGCCATACTTGGGTGAACCTCATGGATTCTTCATCCTGTTATAAGTACTTGCTCCTCTTCCTGAGGACCTGGGGTTTGGGTTTGATTCCCAGAACCCTCATGATAGCTAACATTTTGTAGCTCTAGTAGCAGGGGATCTGATGATCTCTTCTGGCCTCTGTACCAGTGGCCAAGGCACACTTGTGATGCTCAGACATACATTCAAGCAAAACATTTAGAAACATAAAATAATAAAATATTTTCTAAAATTACATCAATGGAGCAATTCATAACAAAGAAGTATAGAAGTCAATAAGTTGCTGACATGTAATGTAGTTCCTATCCACTGCTCTGTGCTGGAATTAGGGGAACTCTAAGAACTTCAAGAATCTAGAAGGAACGTCCTTTTTTTTAAAAAAAAAGATTTATTTATTTTTATTTATATGAGTACATACTGTAGCAGTCTTCAGATACACACCAGAAGACTGTATTGGATCCCATTACAGATGGTTGTGAGCCACCATGTGGTTGCTGGGAATTGAACTCAGGACCTCTAGAAGAGCAGTCAGTGTTCTTAACCACGGAGCCATCTCTCCAGCCCAGGATTTCCTTTTTAAAAATTAAATGTAACTTTACTGTGTGTGTGTAGTGTGTAAGTGTGAGTGTGGATAGGTATATGTGTGTGTGCATGCTTGCACACTCATGCAAGCACCTGCTTTCATTTGTTGACATACATGTGGAAGTCAGAGAACAATTTTATTCTTGTCTTTAGTTTATTTTTTAAACCTTTTATTGATTCTTTGTGTGTTTCACACCATGCATCCAGTCTCACACACCTTCCTGTCCCCTCATATCTACCCTTTGTGCTTGCAACTTCTCCCCTATTAATATATAAGTGTGTGTGCATGCGTGTGTGCTCAAACACACACACACACACACACACACACCAACAATAAAAAGCCAAAACAAAACAAACAAAAAAACAAACAAAAAAACAAAAACAAAACTAAAACCCCAAAGCATAGAAAACATCTCATTGTGGAAGCTGTAGTAAAATATCACAGTATATCTCCATGGCATATTCCTCTGTTCACACATTTTTACTTGCAAATGTTCCTTACAATGAGTCATCGGTCTGGTTCAAAATGTTTGGCTTCTGTGACACCTTCAATATTGGATCCTTATTGTGACTCTTCCCAGTTATCCTGCTGTTGCCCTGTGTCACGGAGATCCTGTAGTTTTGGAACAGCAGCAATGGCCCCTACACACTTCCCAACCATTTGTAGATGACATAGATTTCGAGGGTGGGTCAATTCAGAGCCCTGGATTTGGGCCTGGGTAGTAGCTGAGTTGATCAGTCTGCTGGGTCTCCCTTATCTGCAGCACCAAAGGGCCAGCTCTACTGCCCAGATAAGGTATAGGGCCAGATCTCCTGAGTGCTGCAGCTGATGAGGGACAGGGCCAGCCCATGCACTCTTGTGACCCATGGGTCAGCTTTCCTGACTATTGCAGGTGGTGAGGAGCAATGGGTGGTTCAGTGGTAGAATTCTCGCCTGCCACTCGGGAGGCCTGGGTTCAATTCCCGGCCAATGCACCAATGTTAGACTTCGGGCGCGGTTTGGACAGAAAACACAGGCTGATCTGGTTCCACGGGAGAGGGTTTATTTAGGGAGGGGAGTGGGAGAGAGGAGCGGGAAGATGGCGAGCGAAGAGAAGAGGAAGAAAGCGAGGTTGGGGCGGTCTCAATTATTTATGTGAGTGATGACCTGTAACTTCCCAGGTGTAGGTGAGCGAGACAGGTGAATCCTGGGAGTGGAGCGGTTGCCTCAGTAACGATGCAGGAGTTGTCTGGCCTCTGGCCCTTGAATATGACGTCACTGGTGCAGGAGGTGTCACCCATGCCACCTGATAGCAGACAAATGGCAGGATCAACTCTCCCACACTCTTACTTTTGGGGCTCACCTAAACTTCAACCACCAGGGTCAGCTCTGAGGTGCCCTGTGTCATGGAGATCCTTGACAGCTTTGGAACAGCTGTAGAGCCTGCTCTCCTGAGTGCTACAGCTGGAGAGTGGTAGGGAGAGCTCTCCTAAGTGCATGATCCTGTGGCAGCTTCCCTGACTGCTAGAAGTGATGAGGTATGGAGGAGGGAGGCATAACCTCTGTACCCTTGCCACCCTACAGCAGGTGAATGGCATGGGTCACATTTCCCACATTCATACCCTTGAGCTGGTTTATCTACACCCCTGCCACGAGAACCAGCTTCACTGTGTTGTCTGGGTAAGGCACAGGGTCTGCTTTCCCAAGTGCTACTGTTGGTGAGAAATGAAGACAGCTTTCCAGAGCACCATTGAGGGGCAGGGCCAATTATACACAACTCCTGGACATCCACATAGTCCCTGGGACCTGCCCCAACCATGGACATCCATAATCTCTAGTGGTAATATGAGCCACAGACATTGGAACTGAACCCCATTTCTGCATAGTTATGGACTCAGAATTAGCCCTCAGTGGTAGCTCAGACTGGGACTTCACCACGGCCCCTGGTGGCCAGGTTGACCACTCACAACAGACTACTCTCCACCTTGAGCATCCAGCCCCATCTCTCTTCATAATGCTCAAGCTGCTCCATTTCTCTTTCTCTCCCATCTGACCATCATGTACTACATGGCTTGCGGCCCCTGGTAACATCCTACATCTGTGTTGTGCTGCATGGTGACAAGCGGGTGTCTATAGCCCATCTGTGCCATGTGCCATGTGCTGTAGGGCAGGTCTGTGGGTGGCAGTCTGAAGATCTCTGTCTGGCTTCCTCTTTCTGTGCTGCACTACCTAGATTTGATTTGACTTTTATGAATCCTAGGCATAAGACAGCTTTGGCCACCAAGCCAACCTAGGACGCACAAAGGAATGCCATGAGCTCTGCCCGGCTGATGTAAGAACAGCACCATCAACAAAATAAGGTGTCTCTGCCCATTTCTGATGGAGGTGGGTTGTGTGTGTGGGTTTGGAGGTGGGATGGGAGTATGGATTGTGGGGGCTGGGAGGGTGGGAGCACGTCCTTTAAGAGTGGTTTCTTTCCTTCTACTTTGTTAAGGCAAGGTCTCTCTTGTTGCTTCTGATTTACTAGATACTTGTCCTGTAAGTTTCTGGCTGGCAGGGATGCTGGTTTATAAATGTGTGCCACTATTTCCAGCTTTTATGTGGGTTTTGGGGATTTAAGTCAAGTTGCCAGGTTTGGGGAGCAAGTACTTTTACCTATTGAGCTATCTCTCCATCCCGAGGTTTCATTCTTAATGCCTTCTCTGGCTCTTATGTGTGCATAGTTTTCCATGTTTCATTTAGTGCTTGCTCAGTTGTGAACATAAATCCTTCCTGAAGTCAGATAATCCTGACATATAGTGTTCATAAGTAGAGTTGATGTCTATGGACTTTCAAGGTCAGCCAAGGAGATTTCTGATGTGAGGGCTTCTTCTTTCCTTATGTTTTCTCCTTAGTTCCTCATCCCCAGTTCACAAAGAGAAATGTTAGTTAAATGTTGGGTTTATTGTCTAGTCACAAAAGACTTTTTTCTTTTTTTAAAAACACAAAAACCAGATTCTTCTTTTCTTAAGAATTCTGGTGCAAGCTGAGGTGAGCACATTGTTCATTCATAATTCATTATTTTATGTGCTCAACAATTAGTATTTGAGTGAGTGTTAGGTACTAGGAATATACCAGTGATCAAGAGACAAAGTCCCAGCTCTTATGAAGCATGCATCCTCAAGAGTAGAATTGTGCTAGAGAAACAATGAAGCAGGATAAATCCTTCAGAGTGATGTTGGGGATTGGTTCTAATGCTTCGATTTAATTGAAAATCTTTATGTCTAAATGCTGAAGGTCCTTGTCCCTAGTTTTTGATCAAAAGGATGCCAGTGGCTAATGGTTGGGCAAAAGGAGACAGGGCAAGAGCCTTAGATTTGCTCGGGCTAGGATTTGGGAGAGAGGAGGAGAGAGAGCATCACAATGTTCCAGAGGGAGAAGGATGGAACATAAAAGGTACAGGAGAGAAAATCAACCAGCCACGTAAGAATTCAGGTAAGTGGACAATTGTCACTTCCGTGATTGGGCCTGGAGTAGCAGGTAAAGGTTTAGGAATCTCAGTGGTACTGAAAGAGAGTGTTTGCCATCAGGGGAAGGTTTAGGAGGGTCCAGCCTTTGAGCTAGTCATGGCATGTCCTTTTCTTCTGATCCATCTTTTTCTCTCAGGAAACAAAATATCTATGGTCATGAATTCTCAAGCCACACTTCCCAGGTCACATTTTGGCAGTGTTGCATGTTTGACACTGGACAAATGAGTCTCCTTTTTTTGATCCCAGTTTCTTATTACAAAACGAGGATAATAGTAATCTTTATAGTTATAAATTGTCATGGAGAATGAATCAGTGTTTGGGCCAGGGCTTGGCAAGCAGCATTTGTGTTAAGCATAAAAATCATTAAAGGGTCTTATGAACTCAAGTTTCTGTATCATTCTCTTGGCTTTGAAGAGATGATTTCATATTTTGAAAACATGTGACGTCTTGTTGGATATTCAGAGTTTATACCTCTTCTGCTGTTACTCTTCACTGTGCTCATTCACACATACAATGTGATAGATGTTAGGAAAATATATGAGGGTGAGCAGCTAACTTACAGATAAATTAATCTTCCTTAAATGAGCAGTTAGGTGCTCAGCACAGTCTTAGACTCTTAGATAATGTGAAAGAAACATAAATCAAGATCATAATTCTGAAGAAGTTCTGAGTCTTCAGCTGGGATAAGCAAGATTTACGTACAAGAAACAATTAGAAGACAATACTAGGCAATACCTAATGAAGTGTTGCAGTTGTGTCTTTCAGCTTCAGGAAACCACAATCATCACAATAACTTGTAGCTTTATTTTCCTTATGGCAGACCCCTGAAGCAAACAGGAACTATGGCAAAGAGCATTAAATTAAAAGGCTATCATCGTAATAAAAGCTTTCCTTACAATACAGTTCTTGAATAGATATTGTCTCAAAGTATTTTAGGACTATGAAAAAAAAATACATCGAAGAAGTAGGCAGAGTTTTTGCAGCTGAGCTGATGCTTGGAGAAGAGGAGGGCTCTTCTGCTTCACTTGCCCTCATCCTCTTCCACGGTGCTGATTAAAGCACCCCTGAATGCTCACCATTAATGAAAGCTTAGGGATTCATTAGATCACGCATGTTTCAGAATGTAATAGGGCTTTTTTTTGGTCTTCGGTTCTTTTTTTCTTTTTTTCCCCATTTTTTATTGGATATTTTATGTAGTTACATTTCAAATGTTATTCCTTTCCCCCTGCTTCTATGAGGGCACCCCCGCAAGCACCCACCCACTCCCACGTCACTGCCCTGGCATTCCCCTACCCTGGGGCATCGAACCTTCCCAGGACCAAGGGCCTCTCCTCCTATTGATGCCAGACAATGCCACCCTCTGCTACATATGCTGCTGGAGCCATGGATCCCTCCATGTGTACTCTTTGATTGGTAGTTTAGTCCCTGGGAGCTTTGGGGGATCTGGTTGATTGATAATGTTGTTCTTCCTATGGGGTTGCAAACCCCTTCAGCTCCTTCAGTCCTTTCTCTAACTCCTCCATTGGGGTCCCTGTGTGCAGTCAATAGGGCTTTTTGCCCCACCCCCGGCTTATTTTTAAATTATCACTTTTGAATATGTTTTGTAAAGTATGGTGAGTGGTCAAGAAATATAATTTTGTATTATATTTCAAACAAATAAGGTCACAAACACACAAGCAAAGTTCCAAATTAACAACATAGACTTCTTACACCGTCTTAAAAGGAAGTAATATTAATTTGAGAACTAGGGAAGGAAATTCCAGAGCCACTTTGGTAACCAAGCCTGCTACTTGTCAGGAAGCTCCTTGTCATACATAATTTAAATCCTTATCATAGCACTATAAAACCATTTCCTCTCATTCTTCTGTTTTTGAGTTAATGAACATTCCATAATGGATTTCTATAAATTACATATAAATCATCCCCTCCCTCCCGGAATTTCTACATTTTCATGCTGAAACTTAGGAGCTCTGGTTAAAGTAGAGCTATGTCTCTAGAGAAGCCACTGCTACAAATACTCTTCATCAAGAGTATTTTGGCAGCATGGTGCAGCATGTTTCAGCAATAAAATACCTTTGTAGGCAAACAATGAGGGTGGCGAGGGCCTTTGCCTGCTGTGTTACACTTAGAGGTACTTGAACCATCTTAAACTATCCCTGAATGCCAAAAATATGTGATTCCAAATTCCTCTCTCATACATATTGGGTTCAAAGAACTGTTGTCTTAGTAGCAGCTGTAGCATTTTTCCACTAGAAAGAAGAAGAAGAAAAAGAAAAAGGAAGAGGAAGAGGAGGAGAAGGAGGAAAAGGACAAGTAGGAAGAGGATGAGGAGGAGGAGGAAGAGGAGGAGGAGGAGAGGAGGAGGAGGAAGAGGAGGAAGAAGAGGAGGAGGAGGAGGAGGAGGAGGAGGAGGAGAAGGAGAAGGAGAAGGAGAAGGAGAAGGAGAAGGAGAAGGAGAAGGAGAAGGAGAAGGAGAAAAGAAGAAG